AAAAAAAAAAAAAAAAGTGAGGCTAGGAGGATTGGGGAGGGGACGAGGGGGAGGTAGCTGCGCCTCAGCTCTCCGGATTTCTTTCCCTAACCTGCAGCTTGTTAGAAGTTGCATCCCATCAGGGTTAAGGATAGTAACGACACTCAATTACCATGCTTTCAACAGACTTAGAGTTGAACTTTTAGGTATTCAAGATCAATTGTTCGAGGGGAGGAAGGCAAGGTTTTCTAACAGCAGAGATAGTCCAGTGAGGTGTTTTTAAGTGTTTCTGGAAGATGAAAGTTCAGGGGGGACATGTATATTGTGTTAAATGTACCAATTGAGAAACATTTAAAATGTGTTTCATGAGAAGGGAGGAGACTAGCAGGAACCCAGAATAATAGCAAAGAATCACAGTGAATCAGAGGTAGGTTGCAAACTCAAATACTCAGGCAGCCAGCACAGGCCAGGCTAAATAAGTCAAAGCCCCCTATGTTTCAGTACCACTCACTTGTTGCCTGTTGCACTGTGTTGCCCGATACTAGTTTTGAAATGCTGCAATAGACTAATATAAATTCGGACTTCTAAAATTGTCCTCACCTGAGGACATACTTTACTGATTTTTACTGAGGGGGGAGGGAGAGAGGGATTGGGGAGGCGGAGAGAGAAATATCAGTGTATGAGAGAAACATCAATCCCCTCCCATACACTCCCCCACCGGGGATCAAAACCGAAACCTAGGCATGTGTCCTGACCAGGAACTGAACCTGCAACCTTTCAGTGCACAGAAAGCCACTCCATCTGAGCCACACCGGCCAAGGCACTAAATTCAAATTTTTTAAAAATACTGTGTTTTTTTCTCTCTCTCTCCCTCCATCTCTAAAGTCAATTTTAAAAAAATTTTTTTTTAAAAAAAGTACAGATCATTTTATAAGCCACTGTTTGGCACATATTACAAAGAGTTGCTTCCTTAGTAATTTGTTAGCTGGTTTCTTCCATTAGAATCACATATAGGATAACCTAATCCACGTGGCTAAGACCCAATCTCTTTTTCAGTATTTATTTTCTCTTCATACAGTAAGTTAAAAGAAAGATTGGTTAAATGAAAGGAGAGGGAAATCACCCAGTGGTGAGTTTCTGGCCCTTATATAACTCTGGGCCCAGGTGTGCTTTGAGAGTAGTGCGGAGGGGTCAGAGTTCACTACTGTACCTTAACAGAGCCTGAGCAAGGGGCCAACCAGGGCAGCAGATTTTAGTTCTGTAAACAGAATTGCCTGACTTTTGTGCAAAAATTACCTGTTTTGTTTTTCAGATCTTTTTGGTGAAAACATTTATCTGGTCTTGTTTACCATAGCATTACGAATATGTAACTGCTTTTTAGTCCAGACAAGTTTTGTTCCAGATGAATACTGGCAATGTCTTGAAGTTGCACATCATATGGTTTTCAAATATCCTTTGTCGTTTCTTTTCCAGATTATGAATGTGTATTCATCTTAGGAATTGTATTAGTTTCTGTTATACATTTCCAGTTAATCCTCCATATTTTCTCCAAATAATTTTAATTTATCAAAGTATGCCATTATTTTATGCTAATATTTCTTCTATATATTTCTCTGATGTTAATGTACTTGAGTTAACCTTTAGCTCAGTACTGTGGAGAAAATATTTGAAGTAAAAAACACATTCCTGCCTTGAAGAAGAGTTTAGTTAGCCAATTGCATTTTTAACTTAAATATTTAGTATAAAGTGCTGTGTTTTTAAGCTGTGTCAAAAAGTAAGTTTTATATATGGGAATGAAAGTAGGTTTTGTTTCAATGCTACTGAACATTAGTCCTTAATATTACTAATTATGGTTATTTGACCTGGGAATGGACAGAAAGATTGAGGGGTTACACTTACCCCTTAATCTTTGCAAGCATTTACAAGATTCTACATATTTTGGGGAAAGACAGTGTTCAGTTGATGGTAAGTTTAAATAAAAGTAATCAAAATAGTTCTTAAAAGTAGATTTATTCTATCCTTGTTTAAAGTTTAGTCTATATTAACTAAATGGTATTGTTGCTATCATGAAATTTTTTTTTAAAAGGCTACTGTTGCTAAACTCTGGCCATATCTGGAAGTGCAGGGTCCCAAAGACATGCTGTGATGTAACTAGAACACAAGACCAAGCATGAAAGTGTCCTGCTGGGAGCAATCCAGTTAAGATTTTCAGAATGATTACATTATATATTAGTTATTTGGACTTTAGAAGTATATTTCCTTCATAAAGAAACGAGAGCAGGTTGTATTTTTTTTAACTTGTGAGCTAAAGACCATGTTATATGAGCTTATGAAGACTAAATACATATAAACACACTCAGAATTTAAGTGTTGAAATTAAAACTTAGGAGAAAAATCAATTTGACAAAAATTTAATGAGATGCGCAAATCATTGTGCTATGTTGTAATTAGGCCTCAATAGTTAATAGGGTTGTAATTCCTGGATTGTGTATTTCTGGGGTTATTTGCCAGAAGAGGATACAAAGGAAGAATTAATAGTACAAAAGTTTCTCTACCTCACTGTTAAGATCCTTTAAGCTGTCAAGTTGGACTCAGAACTCTGGGCCTTCCCAATTTTCTGTTAGGGAAGTACCTACCCCAGGACTCCAAAGGCAGTCCAAATCCTGAGGGTTTTTTGAAGCCTGAGAGACAGTGAGGTTCTGAGACTTTTTTTAAGGCAGTGTTGTACCCTCCCCTTTGCAGTGATATTTGATTCTCCATTACTGAGAAACAAGGATCAGACCTGTAAAACACATGCTTCTCATGGAAATATCCTGAGCGGTAGCAGTTTCACTGACACAGGTAGAACTTAGGAGCTGTGAATTCTCTTTTCCCAGGGCTACCCACTAGCATGTAGATCATGCAAGGGTATCCATAAAGTCTAGAACCACAGGCAGATACACATGTCATCAAGGAAATCTTATATCCCAGGAAATAGGTTATATTACAAATGAAGGGGTCTTCAATATACAAAAACTTCCTATTCCTCCAAGACCTGTCTACTGCCTTCAACCTGAAGCTGACCCACCTGGCACAGTGAAATAGTTTGCTGGCTATTTAAATTAAAATTACTAGTGTTGAAATTGTATTAATATATGCGTGTGTGTATGTATATTACCTTGGACGTTTCCATGAAAAATAAATGTAATTTTTGTAGAAAACCAGCTATTTTTGCAGAATAGAATAATACAGTATATCTACTTTTGTACTAAGAATGGCTTTCAATTGATAATTAGATTAGCTTGATGTCTTATGATAATTCAGTGTGAACCAACAAAGGTTTTTAATTTTTATTTTTTTAATTAATGAAGATTTGGACTCCTAGACTTGCCCAAGCACTTCTGTCTGCTATAGCCGACTTGAGGCTTTACTCATTAATGAAGCAACTAGAAAATCAGCAAGTAGCAAGATGGGTGGTAAGTCCTAAACACTTTAGAAACTATATGGCAGTTATTTCATTCCTATGAGTATGAAACACATGGAACAATGTTGATTCCCAAACCAGTTTCAGAAAACAATTCATACAACTTTATAGAGGTACTCCCATAATTAAGAAGAGTAAAATGCATGCGGCACACGCCGTCTCTCTCCTGATCGGGCTCTAGGCGGCAGAAGTCACTGATGCCCTCAAACCCTAGGAGACAGCCTCTGGAAGCACCTTCACTCTTCCAAGCTGTCAGTCCTTGCCTCACTTTCCATAAAATTCAGTAGGAATAGTTCACCTCACAAATTACCTAGGCCATTTACAACCCTGTTCCTCTACCTGAGACTATTCCTCTACCTGAGACTCAGCCTGAGAAATACCTTTTCACTGAAGCACTGGTTTCACTGAAACACTCTGGTGTTTTTGAAATAGCTGGACCATGTAAGGGAAAGGGTGTGGTGTAGAAGGCTGTCGTTTGTCATTTAGCTTATTTCACAGTGGGGAGATAGATTCCTGATCTCCCATTCAAATCTTGAATGGATTTTTCCATTTAAATCATATCCTGAAGAGTGATTGGATGCTGTAGTACTGCTGTTACTTCACTTTGGAAATAGATAGGTTCCAAATTCCAACGTACCAATTCAC